AGGGAAAAAGACTTGTTTTTAATAGGGACTTGGGACCAAAGACCTGAACTTGGGGGGACTCAGACCAAAAGACTTGTCAACATCCACGGTAAAAAGGGAAGCAGGAGACGGAGAAGGGAGGGCCAAAAATGATGGACCACTCAGCTCTGTGCCAGTCTCTCGGTTTGCCCAGATAAATCCCGACAATTCTGCACCAGCTGAGGAGACCCATCTTTTTCACTGCAGCATTCCTCTTTTTTGGAAAGCATCATGTCGTCAAGCACCTCGTCCTCTGTCGTCCCCTTCTCCTTTTGCCTTCACACTTTCCCAACATCAGGGTCTTTTCCAGGGAGTCCTCTCTTCTCATGAGGTGGCCAAAGGATTGGAGCCTCAGCTTCAGGATCTGTCCTTCCAGGGAGCACTCAGGGTTGATTTCCTTCAGAACGGATAGGTTTGATCTCCTTGCAGTCCAGGGGACTCTCAAGAGTCTCCTCCAGCACCGCAATTCAAAAGCATCAGTTCTTCGGCAGGTCAGCCTTCTTTATGGTCCAGCTCTCCCTTCCATACATCGCTACTGGAAAAAAACCATAGCTTTGACAATAAGCCTCAGTACAGCTGGGTATTTGGGCAAACACAGATATCCCTCCTTTTTGCGTGCTCTCCGAACACAAGGTAAAATAGATACTGGGATAGAGCGAAAGGGCTAAATTGGCCAGGATGAATTAACTAACATTCTGCATGTGCACAAACACAGTGTATGTGTGTCTATGTGTATTTGTGCAGAAGTTTGCCAGGATGAGTTAATATCTATGGAGTAGTAGTACTAGCAGTAGTAGTACCTTTTCAGTTTTCATAAGTGTAATAAGATTTATGGTTTAATTACTTTCTCCTGTATTGCTGTAGTCTTCTGATTTCTTTCTTTTTGTTCTTCTCGAGTGCGGAGGGTGCATTCGTTTCAACCTTTTGCAAATCATGTCTTTTAATGATGGAAACCGTCATTGTATACTTATTGTTTTCAGTT